GCTCTGAGCAGACGGAAACTCCTCCGGCTCAGCGCTCTTAAGCGGCTCGGACCGCCCGCCGGACGCCACAGCCGCGCGGCGTCCGGCGCAGAGATGACCGTGCTCCGCGTGTGTCAGTGAGTAGACATAGACATAGACATGGACATAGACATAGACAACTTTACTGTCATTTTGTGTGTACGGAATGCGCACAAAATTAAATTTCATTGCGTACAGCTTTAGACAAGAACAGGATTCAATAATTTAGCAGTCAGGGAAAAAGCTGTTGTATAGCCACTAACCGCTGTCCTCTCCTCTTCCCCCCCCCCCCCGCAGCGTGCCCACCGTCCCCGTGAAGAACCTGAACGGATCCAGCCCCGTGCACCCCGCGCTGGCCGGTAAGCCCCGTCCACTCAGTGGTCAATAGTTTCTGTTTCAAACTAAATTCTGATAGATCGTCCAATTTGCCGGTTGTTTTCATCCAGTCTGGGGTTAATTTAATCAGGAGGAATGTACCAAGTGCTAACAGGGGGTGTCCAGAGCAGCTTGTTTTCACTGTTTTGGATCAGCCCAACACACCTGAGACAGGTGGACTGAAGCAGCTCTCATTTTATTGCTGGATAAGGAACTTTTGTGGTTCCCTTTGCCTCCAGAACCAGAACCAGAACAGTACCGGGAGGAATTCTCATTCACATTCTGATGTTTAAAACAGCTCTCAGAGTTTCACGTTTTCAGCTAATCGTGACTTTTGAAAAGTTCTGTTAACATACTCGTTATTCCTGGGGCTGTAAAGTCCTACAGATGTTCTGGGTCCACCAAAATCTTAATTGCCTTTGACCTTTGACCTCTTGGCCTCATAGCAGACGCTATCAGACACTACTGTTTACAATCTAAAGGAAAATGCTTTTAGACATTTTAAACCAATCGTGTTCTTATTTTGGAATGAAAATGTTATAAATAAGTCATTTGGAACCTAAATAGCAAAAACATTTAATTAAATCTAGATGCAATCGTATTAATTCTAAAAATAAACCTACTGAGCCTATATGAAGAAAAACTACCTGGACCAGGACGAAGTCTAGTTATGAAACTTATCAGCTCCTCCTGATCCAGAGATTAATAAATAAACTATAATTTATTTATTTCTTAATGAATATATATTATCTTTTAAAATTGATTTGACTATATCTAAAAAAATGAATTAAAGCAGCATAAACGAGGAGTTTAAAAGCAAAAACCTGCACAAACGGAGGGCTAAACATTGAATCTATTTTCAGGAGTTTTTAAAGTGGGTGAGTCCTCTCCCGGTCCGGTCCGGTTTTCCCTCCGCTGACCCCCCCCCCCCCCGCCTCGTTTCAGGCATCACGGGGATCCTGATGAGCGCGGCCGCGCTGCCCGTCTGCCTGACCCGGCCCCCCAAGCTGGTGCTGCACCCCCCGCCCGTCAGCAAGGGCGACATCAAGCCGGTGCCGGGCTTCGGCCACTGCTGCCGGAAAACCACCCGCAAGCAGGCGCGCAAGGGTGAGCCCTACGGAAAGCCCCCTGGGCCAAAAAGCTCCGGTCAGGATGAAGAGTCGCCCAATACAAAACCCAAAAAAAGCCTGTTTTTGGTTCGGAACGCCATCAAATGAGACTAAAATCTGTTCAAAACGTCGGTAGAAGTTAAAACTAAAAGGCTTATTATGACATATACAGTAGGGGGAAATAAGTATTTGACCCCTTTGCTGATTTTGCAGGTTTGCCCACTTACAAAGAATGCTTGTTTTTCCTCATCAGATGGTTATCAATTTTTATAAGTTCATGTGATGTGATTTTCTGGAATTTTCTTTGGGATTCTGTCTTTCACTGTTAGAATGTACATATGATTAAAGTTATAGATCGTTGCATTCTTTGTAAGTGGGCAAACCGGCAAAATCAGCAAGGGGTCAAATACTTATTTCCCCCACTGTATTACCAGGGGCACAAATACCTGCTTTCAGAGGGGGGAAACATTACAGCCGGCCCTGAAAACCCCATCTTTTTCTCCATATAAAAACATAAAATGTATTTTTGAATGATTAAATAACATCGTTCTCGGACGTCTGAGTGGACGACTCATCGGCTCTGTGGGGTCACAGCTCAGCGAGGACATTTAATGTAAGGGTTTCAGTCCAAAGTTATCTGGCGGCATCAAAACAACCAGAATAAAAACGCCACTTCTGATATTTATTACGTTGGTTCGGTTTTGGGTCGATGTTGGGTCGGCGTTAGGTCAGCGTTGGGTCAGCGTTGGTGCCGCTGCAGCTCTAAGCCCCGCCTCTTTTTCTGCCTGCAGGTAAAACTCCAGAGGAGGTGGTGAAGAAGTACCTACAGAAGGTCAAAAGCCCCCCAGAGGAGGTAAGAGGGTGGGCCGGGTCTGGGTCGGGTCTCGGGGAGGGTCTGGACTGGATCCGGGCCAGATCTGGACCAGGTCTGGGCCTGGGCCGTGTCGGGTCTGGTCCAGACCGGGTCTGGGCCTGGTCCTGGTCTGGGTCTGGGCCGTGTCTGGTCTCGGCCTGATCTTGGACTGGTCTGGACTGGGCCTGGTCTGGGTCTGGACCAGGTCTGGGTCTGGACCAGGTATGGTCTGGACCGGGTCTTGGCTTAGTTTGGGCCTTGTCCAGTCCGGGTCCCGTTCTGGACCAGGCCGGGTCCGGGTTTGGACCGTGTCTGGCCCTGGTCCTGACCTGGTCTGGTCCTGGTCTAGGCCGGGTCTGGTCTGGACCGGGTCCAGTCCGGGTCTTGGCCGGTTCCGACCCGGCCTGGGCCTGGTCCTGGTCCTGGTCCTGGTCCTGGTCCTGGTCTGGGCCTTGCCTGGTCTCGGCCTGATCTGGGACTGGTCTGGGTTGGGTCTGGACCGGGCTGGGTCTGGACCTGGTCTTGACAGTGTCGGGTCTGGGTCTGGTCCGGGCCGGGTTCCGTTCTGGACCAGGCTGGATCTGGGTTTGGGCTGTCTCTGGTCAGGGCACAGTCTGGACTGGGTCCAGTCCGGGTCTGGGCCGTGTCTGGTCCTGGTCCAGGTCCTGGTCCTGGTCCTGGTCCTGGTCCAGACCGGTGCTGACCGGCCGCTGTATCTGCAGGACTGTACCATCTGCATGGAGCCTCTGGGGGGGCCGTCGGGGTACCGGGGCCCGGGGCCGGGCCCGGCCTGCAGACCAGAGCCGGTGGGCCGCCTGGCCCAGTGCGGACACCAGTACCACCTCCAGTGCCTGGTGGCCATGTACAGCAACGGGAACAAAGACGGGAGGTGGGTCAGTTCTGCTCGGACAGAAGGACATAAAACACACCTAAACAGGAAGTCCAGTCACTCACACGTTAGCTTTGATAAACAAATCAACTCTCACACCAGAAACCAGAATAAGGATCAGAAATCACGAAATCAGAAATGTTATTTATTTATTTACTTTCATTACTATTTATAAAAAATATTTATTTGTTTTTGTTTTATTTCATTTTTACTTTTTTTGTGTATTTCTTTTTAAAAAGTATTTATTTGTTTTTGTTTTATTTTATTTTTACTTTTTTTGTGTATTTCTTTTTTTGTGTAATTTTTCATTGCACTTCTTGTGATTTACTTTTACTTTAATATCAAACTTTAGGCTCTTAACGCCATATAGTGGAATGGCATTTTCCTTTCCTTTTCTTAAAATTTAAATGACTTTTTTTAAATGGAATTTTTAAAATAGTTTTCATATTACATTTTTTTACTTTGAATTTATTTTTTTTATTTCACTTTTTTATTTCACCTTCTGTGATTTCCTTTACGCTTTGGTCGCTTTATCTGTTGGTTGTTGTTGTTGAAGCGCCACATAAATGCTAATCTATCTATCTATCTATCTATCTATCTATCTATCTATCTATCTATC